TCTGACAAAACCACTCCAGTTTTAAAGACAACAGAAGAGTGCCATTGGGTTTCACTAATTTCTTTAAAGGATAACATGAATCTGGCAAAAGGATTTTTGACAATGAGAGGCTTTTATCTCAAAGCCACAGGCCTAACAAGCTCATCTGCATCACTTTGAAAATCCAAATAATGACACTTTAAAATTATAATCCACTTAGTTTTCTCGTTCTGAAATCTCCTCGATTTGGTTAGCTTCTGCTAATGTGATTCCAGAGCCTGTCTTTTGGTATACAAATACCACCCTACTTTCTACTGCAAAGCTGTGATATCCAAGTTCAAAAGCAGTTTCAATAGACATCTTCAAGTAATAGGCTAAAATGTCAGAAAGCTTATTTTCCGAACCTGAAAGTAATGTTGGAAACTAACATTTTCTCTTTGTTAGGCTAATCAGTCTGCAGCACTCAATGGGGGAAAAAAAAAAAACATACTCAATTGTACAAACCATGCTAACTTAGCATGTGTAACAGAGAAGAAAAAGTATCTTTCTTGTTTAAATGTTATGTATCTATTTCACCCTCTTTCCCCCTGAAGCTTGTATTAAAATATAATTTCCACATTTGGATTTGGTTTTTATACCTCGAATGAGAAAGCAAACCAGACTTTCACTGCAAAATATTCATTAAGTGTAACTGCTATTATATAATCATAACATTATGCAAAGCTATTACCTGCACAGGGTAATGCTACAGACATATCCAAGCCTGAAGGCTTTGGTTTTACATTCTTCTGAAAAGTACGTTCAAGAGATTTAACTACATTCTGAGCATACTCAGGGGCACAGTCTGAAGTTACTTTTTAATTCAGTAACACAAATCTCACATTAATTATAAAAACTAACCTAGTCACCTTCAGAATATGAAAGAGGCTCTCAAATGTAGTTCTTACAAAATAATGTTACATGTTCTGTGAAAGATACATTCACTCCACTATAGCACCTGCAGCTCCTGTATTCAATAAGTTGTGTTGGTACTCTTTTCTCTTCTGTGGCCTGAACACCAGCCGTGTGATTTGTCAGTTAGCATCATCTGGCACAGCGAACCCACAGCCAGAGAGAAGCTAAAGCACGGAGGGAAACAAGCACCTGCAGATTCTCCCATCCCCAGCAGAGCCCTCTACTCAAAAAGGTCCACTGAGGGATGAATAGAGATTTTCCCCATCTCCTCATCAACGTACTATTGCCTTCTGAACCAAAATCTTCACTTCAAAGATTAAAACAAACCCAAATATGTGAAATGGTCAGTTGTATCCACTTAAGAGTCCTGTGTTTCCATTGCTACTACTGCTGCACAACCTATATTGACGCCACTGGTCAATACAATATTCACAAGGTCACCCTGATGATCTTAACTTCCAAGTGCTGAAATCCCAAACTGACTCTTACCCCTATGAATGACAAACACCAGATTGATAATACTGAGCTCTCAGTTGCTGTTTGCTAACTCGGTATTAAGGGATCACTGCGTACCCCTGCTGCCAACTCCTGTCAGCACACAGCGATGATTGACACCTGGCTGCCAAGACACAATTTGCAGCAGGTACCTCATACCTACCAGCACTGACCACATTTTTACAGACAATTCAAACAGGGAGCAAAGAAAAGAATAGCACAAGCAATAGACTGCAGCAGCTTTTAATCCTGTTACAAGTATCACTCAGAGTTTAAGATGTATTAAGATTAAACAGACTTTTTGATAGCATAACCTTATTTCTGCTGTAGTAGTTGTAGCAACAAATTAACAACTTGCCAAGACTTTACCAAAATGACAAAACGGTTCAAATTTGACATCAAATAAGAATTTGGCAGATATGAACAGCTTAGCCATATCAATATCATCAACTCACCATATTATTTTTATTTTAATGAAAATATCTCAAAATAGTTTTATAGCACCAGCTGATGAGATGTTTAACTAGCTCTTAGTATTACATGAGTACTAGATTCTAGGCACTGCCTTGGTTTCTTTGAGATTCTGTATTTCAGTTAGAAATAGGGTACCCTTCCTCCTTTGTGTTACTACAGACATGTCAGTAAAATTAAGGTTCTTAAAGTCTATTATCCAGGGATCAACTATAGCCAAAGCTATAGTCCAAATTACTCCCAATACTGCTGATCTTCTTACTACACAGGGACAGCTAATCAGTCTTAAACTAATGACAGATTTTAAACAAAACCCATGCTCATATATTCACTATCTAAAAGAGAAGTACACTCTCTCAACATCAAGAACAAAATCCTACTAGCAATCTGCTGAATCACTGCACCTCCTCGAATCACGTTTCCCATAGTGAACAGGACTTTAGACCCCCCTGTTTAATTAGTCTCACTAATTTTAATAGAGTAACTGAAGAACTACGGTCATAAATCAAGTGATGACAAGTGCTAAGCTAAAAAAAAAAAAAAATAAAATTAAAAAAAATCAATACAGAAAAATACTTTTATAACAACAGGATGAAAATAAATCAGTGTTAGAATATTATCCCTGTAGTCAATTATTTGGTTCAAAGCAACCAGAACATATGTTTCTATACTGAGCAACACATTATGAACTGCCAATTATTTTCTGCCTACATTAGCCCCTCCCCTGTTACTAAAACCAAAATCAATTAAGTATCTTTGAAAATAAATCTACCTGACTGTCATAGCTAAGGTTGACTGGTTTATACTGTGTCTTATAGAGAATATATTCCTCTACTCAAATTGCTGATCATTAAATACTCCCAGCAGGAAACACCATTTTACACAGAATAACAGTGGTAGAGAAATCACACTGAGGGCAATTTTTCTCTCATCACGTTCTGCTTAAATTGACTTAACTAACCAGCCCAAAAAACAGAATTTCGTTTGCTGGACCTGTTCATAATATTCAGTAATCTGTCAGATCTCAGATGAGTACAGTGTGAATTAGCATAAAGAATGTCTGAAATCAAGGAAAAGGAAAAAAGAGGCCTCATAACTCTTTACAGCCAATTTACTGCATAAAATAAACCAACCATAATTTACTTTTCTGATGAAATTAAGATCTTAAGTTTTCTGTTTATAATGTAATGTTCAGATATCTTCACAGAGATAAGTGTTATCTGCAAGAAATTCCAGAATAAAATCTAAAATCGAGTCTCTAACATTAAGATCAAGATTAGGGAAATCCATTTTGAGTGCCTACAGTCAGAGAGAGCAGACTAAGGAGGCAATCTAATTCGATAGTGAGGTTTCTTCTCCTTATCAGAACTATTCAACCACATGGATATAAGAACAACAGTAATTAAGACACAGAGTAACAGGTTATCACAAATCAGTAACTGACTATGTGAATGTGCTTAATCCATTGTAACGCGAATTGAAACACATTAGTTTACACCTAGAAAGAATTTTAAATGCGTTTCACTTTACATTTGCAAGATATCACAAACACACATATAGATACCTCATAGTTCAGTCTATGATGGTAATTTACTGAGCTCTAATAACTAGTTATCAAATCTATCACCAAGAATTGTATGAAATATTAACTATTTAGAGTGGAAATGTGTGTCTCACTTTCCTTCATGCATCTTTTTTATTTCATGATTAAACGACTTTATTTCATTCTGATTATTGAAATCCATAATTTTTTTCTTCAAATCTTCTCTATGATGCATGCAGCTACAGCATAAGAATGCACAGCAAACACTATGTATGTTCAAATTATTCCTGAGAGGCACAGACATATTAGTATCATTCTACTCATTAATATCATTAATCTCTAGATTTTTACTTTATTATCATTTTAATTTGTAAAGGTAGCCAAATTATTTTAACGATACATATAACATACAAACACAAAGTATATCCAACCATAAGGAATAAAAACATTTAATTAGTTTGTAAACACCAGTAACAAAGTGAAAAAAAAAAAAAAAAAAAAAAAAACAAGACACTTCATTTGCCTTGAAGAGTAACCAAAATTATGACCAGGTAAGAAACTGAGACAGCCTATATAGAAATATATGTAATAACTGTATAAAGCTAAAATCTAATAATATCGAGCAAGGTTTTTATTATTTAAAGGTACAACTCAAATGAACCCTATGTTATATGCTCTTGCATAAAAGAAGGAAAAAAGTTTGGAGTTCTTACTTATTTCATTTGTAACAAACAGGGATACAATCAAGCACAACACTCTGGGCAGTTCTTTAAAGGTTTACATTGGAAGTCAATGCTACTACTGCTGATGTAAATTTAAGGAGCTGTCTAATGTAGGATCTAATGTGCCAGAAAATAACCAACATACATCAATTCCCTACCTATAGTTCGTTAGACTACCACTACGAAATAGCAAGCCTTCCACACTTTCCTGAGGCTCAAAGGACTCTCATTTGGGATTTACTGGCTGCAAATACACACCCACATGCTACGCAGTACATGAGCAACAAATCTAATACAGCTGGGATGTATATCAGACCCACTGTATATAACTTGCATTTACACACTTGCAGTATGTATAGTCTGTCTGGGACAGACTGCACTATTAAAGAGCAAGAAGCTTAGTATAGCGCATTTTATTAGATTCACTGAGCATGGGGTTTTTGCCCAAGACCTGTAGGCATCAAACAATCCCAAACAAATGGCTGTTTTCCTATGACAGAACTTCCAAATGATAAAATCAAAGATGTCTAGATACACTCAGATATTTGGTAGCCAAACCTCTGCACTGGTCAGTTCACAGTTTGAGAAACAGCTAAGAACAGTTTGAGAAATGGAAATTCAGTCACTAGATCCACATATCCTGTGTGAGAAAACACACTTTTGTAACATAACAGCAGTTGTGTCATCAACTTCTGCCTTATCTGAAAAGATACATTAATGCTTTTCATATCAGCATGGGAGATCAGTGCTTCAACAAGAACAACTAAATAACAACAGGAGTAAAACTGCCTGTATCCCATATTCAGGTATTTTGAAGAGTCAGTAAAAGCACTTACCACACCAATTCCTTCAAAAGCAAATATTGCAGTCCCAAAAAACAGAGGGTATTTCTTCCAGCCAACCACAGGAGGCAGTTTTTGAGGATCTATGATATCCTGAAGAAAACAAAGCAAAACAGTGCTATGTAATGCACATTAGCTGTTCCCACAATTTTGATTGATGCATTATGCTACAGGAAAGAACTCACTACATGTTAGTGGTATATATGTTGCTATTTACAATTCCTGTTTTTCCTCACAAACTTAGTCCTTTATACGCATTTATAGTCGCCTTATAACCCACACATAGACACTTGCAGATATACCTATTCTGGTTTCATATTACTGACAGTAGAAATTTTCACATTTAAAGTATCACACTGGTGTATATGAGGGAGCATCAATTAAAAAGCTCACACCTCAAGCTTAATCTTCTGCAAACTCATTCTTGGAGTACTGCATTTTCTTATCTACTTTCATACTGCACAGATATTCTTCATAACCATAAGGGACAGTAAAAGAAAATCTTTTCAAGACAAGCTGAGTTCCTACAGAACAATTAATTACTCTCTACCTCCTCCAATCTATTTATGTAACTTCTGTCTCCTTGCTCAGCCAATACCTCTCGCTGGCTCTTCTGCCTTCTTCCCCATTCTCTGCTTCCCACTCATTTCATAACACTCATGTGAAAGCTTTCTCAAACAGGAGTGGTGCTCACCACTTATCCACTGTGTATGCAGCAGTGTCTATGTCTTAACACTTTTCAAAAATCGTAAGAAAGAAAAATGAACAGGTTTCTAGAGCTAATTTTTTCTCAGCCATCAGTTTAATTTGTTCCATTATGAAATGTCTCCAAGTATGAAAAACAGCAGTAACACAGAAAATGCAGTATCTATGCAACTTCTCAGAAGCTGGAAGTCTGCAATGTGTATTCTTAAAGGGTCTTAAATTTTTCCTGATTGTACTGGAGAAACACAAGAAATAAACGTTACTGCTGAAAGAGTTCTGTTGCAATAAAAAGACTGGCCACAAATTAAAATCTTGCCAGTTCTGTGTGCAACCCATAAAAATTCACATATTCTTCCACTCAAGGACTCCAAGTCATTACAATACATGTTTTTATTATATTATGTGGAGCAATATTATCTTTCTTTCAAAAATACTGTAGGAGCCTGTTTAAAGGATTTCTCAAGTATTAAGGCACCTCCCTAAATCAAGATGCATCAATAAAATACAAGATAATTCTGCCTTTCAGAAACTGTCAGTCAGTATATATTTATCAGACACCAACTGCCACATCAACAAATGCAACTTGCCACAAAAAGACAACAATAATTTTTTTTTATACTCACTCTAACAATATACTGGTAAATGATCACCAAGCTGACAGCCATAGACAGATTGGCAAGCAATGAAAACAAGGACAGGCTCTTAAGGTCACGAATAAAGACTAGAAGGATCATGAATGGCAGGAAACACAGCATGTATATTCGTAAATCAGTACTCTCTTTCTCAGAAGAACTGCCAGCAGCACTAACGTTTATTGGAGCAGTCTTGTTTTCCAAGAATCCTTCATGGACCTGTAAAAAAAAAAAAAAAAAAAAAAACAACAAAAAACACACCACATAGAATGTGTTAAACAGTGGTAGCACTGAATCTCTGTATATGGTCACATTGCTATTTTGCTATATTGGAATTTGTTCCTCTGCTTTACCTGTGGAGTGTCAGGCGTTGCAGGACCCCGGTACTCTCAGTGCAGAGGGGAGGGCAACGCACTTTTAGCAAGTGTTGCATCCTTAAGACAAACGATGAAATCAGGACCCGAAAGATCTAAAAGCATCTTTATCCCACCACTGACTAGAGAAGAAATCCACATGAGCAGTTTAGGTAAGATTCCTTTCAGAAAGGGAGTATGGCAAAATGAATGCAAGCAAGATGGATCTAAGCCTAAATAATAGAGTTTGAGTTCAGTGCCTAATAAACTTATGCCTTTGTTATGTGTATCATAGCAGCATACATACAAAATAATGTTAGAATGAATATGAACCTGCCTGTATTTCTCCTAATTGCAAATTATTCTATTTTTCACTTTTCACTCTTTTATTGGTCAACATTAATTCAACCCTAAAAACCAAGAGCTCTGAGAGAGTTGGAAGTCTTTTCTCCATTAAACTGATACAAATCAATGCCTATAGATAAACAGTAGTATATCAACGTGAAAATGCTTTGGGCTTTTTGTATATAACAATAGCTGCCTATGGTGCAATTCAGAAGATGGAGTTTGGCACTAGTCACAACTCTCATTGATTCTTTTGAAAAATGTTAATGTGGCCATAACTGACAAAATTTGTTTTGTGGAAATACAGTCTTGAGCTATGTGCACATCACAATCACAACATAAAGAGCTGGTGATTATTCTGCTTGCTGCAAAATTGTAGCAGTTCAAATCCATTTGGTTTAAACCATGCCTCTCCCCTAGGAGTGTATCCTTCCCTTTTCCTTTCCATTGCATTCGCCATCTTACAAATCAGCGCACGACTGTGCTTAATCTGTTCATGCTGTGGAAAGCCTTTGGCTTGATGACTACAAAAAGATACTTAGGCAGTGGAAAAAAAAACACAGTTCCTTATCACACAGAGACAAAAAAAAATGGGAAATCAATATATAGCAAAACAACTGGAGACAATACTCTGACTCTTAAGTATGGTCAGACAACCAACCACTACAGCCACAGGCTTCATATAGAACTGAACTCACAGGAAGACTGTACAAGCCTACAATCCCAGGAAGTACACAAGTGTAGCAATTATTAAATATTGTTATCCATATCACATAGTTCGCAGGCATGGTCCAAGACTGATTAATTTATGGGCAATTCTTTCAATGTCAGTTATCTGAGCAAGGGAAATAATAAGAACATAGATCCTGCCTCAAAAATCTAAACACATGAAGCTGTTACAATAAAAGAGGCAAGTATTACCACTACAATATAAGTTTTTACGTAGCCATGGCAGCCCTAAGCAAACACCACAATTACCAGTACATAATGGCATCTATTTTATTTGTATATAGGTCACAGCAACTCAGGGCTATTCATTTTTTACTTTGAGTAAGAGGACTAAGTGGAGAAAAACATGACAGGCTGGAGATAGAGTAGGCAATCAAGGGAACATTGCGACTTTCATGAGGTAGAGGAAGTTCGTTGATAATGTTTTACATACACTTGGTTTTACAAGTCATTCAAATTGGTAAGTTTGCCAAAACTGAGACTTCATAAGTCTCGGAGAAAAAAAAATTTTGCACAATTCTCTTTATTTTCATTGTTTCAAACAATCCACTCAGGAAGACAGAATTAACTTAAAATTCTTCTCTGTAAAAAGCACTACACAGATTTTTTTCCACGAAGAAAAAGGGAAAGATAAAAGATACAATTCTGTGATTACATGTTTTCTAGAAATCTCACTTTAAATGACAACAGAGGACATCAGTCATTAAGGAAACACTGATGGCTTCCACCTTGAAGAATCTTAAGTGTCACTTACAAGACAGGGAACATCTGTTAGTTTTCATTAAGATAACATTTTTAGAAATCTATGAAGGAGAGCTCACTACATTTAGAACTGAATTCCAGTGAAGGCAAGCAGCTACAATAACTCCAGTCTGCCAAGCAATGTGTCAAACACTTAACCAAATTACTTCACTAATGCCACATGAGTAAAGCTCTCTGTAGAAGTTTCCTGCTTTCCCACCATAATTAAAATAGAAATACAAAACAAGTACTTTAACAGCCTTTCACTTTAAGAGTCTCACTTTAAGAGTCTCCTGTGTTCTACTTGCTTGCATGCATTCACAGGTAGCCAGAGCTGCTCTGCACACAAGGACAGATAAGAGGGTTTTCTAAGAATTACAGTGTGATTTGAGCATGTAAGTCCCATTGAAAAGCTCAGCTACAATAAATATTTAACCTCATGTGCCTTCAATTTATATGTGTCTGTAAGCCTAATGAACTATTTAAAAAAAAAAAAAAAAAAA